AAGCTGATTAATCTTCGCAATCGACGTTTTAGTTATATTTCACTTGTGAGAACCACGAAACCCCCAAGCGACATCGTGGAGAAGTTTGCTATCATTTTCTGGTATTCTTTATTCATTTTTTTCCTCTTCCTTGTTTCTCCTTTCGTCCGGGTCGGCGTTCCCGGATTTCGACACCTGATTGTTGGAGTCGCCCTGTTGGAGCAGCCTTGACCAAAGAGTTTGGACCAAAGAGTGAGATAGTGTTTATCTTGTGATCTAATGATATGACTAAATGAACACATTGGTACTACTGCAAAACAGCTTGCAAATTGGAGTCGATACATGTTTGGAATTACTTGAAAAAGAAAGTACCTCATTTAATTTAATCATCTGTGATAATTACAATAATAAATAATACCATCTAGTCGAGACTGACCTCTAGAGTGTTTTCATTATCGACTTGGTTAAAGGCATTAACTAAGAGTCTCCATATTCGAACAACCTGAGGTAGCAAGTTGAATTTATTTCCCAACCTTTCACCTGTTTGGATTTTTTTTAGGTAAATCGTTTGATAACGGGTACTTTGTGAAATTGGTTCAGCTGAGTTCACAAAAACACACAGATTTCCTGAAGATTTTCCAATGATTTTGCGTATTGTACTGATTTAGCAAAATAATTATTAGGTTATGTGGACATTTCTTCTATTCCGCGGTAAATAAAAAAACATAAAATTTTAAAAAATAGGCTTTTTTAAAATCTCTTTTCAAAAAGTGAGAAAATTTTTTATAAGTGTCAGTCAAAAAAAAAAAATAATTTACAATAAAAGGCAAACAATGAAAAAGAAAATACTTTTATCTTTTTTCTTTATATACACCCTATAAAAATTGTTATGGTAATTAATTTGGTAACTACTAAAGTAATTATAACTAACTATAACTTACATAAATTTCAAAATTTGAGGCTAAACTATAGTCGATGGGTCCATTAGCCTAATATAATTTTAAGATCTGCATATATATATATATATATATATATATATATATATATATATATATATATATATATATATATATATATATATATATATATATATATATAGGGTTTTTTACATCTGTCGCTGTCTCCCTTCTCTCAACCTACGCCTCCATCCATCTCTGTCTTGCCATTCATCTCCGATACCTCTTTTTTCCATAGATTCATCTACTTCATCCCTCCAAGATCTTCTGGGTCTACCCCTTTTCCTTCTACCTATGGGGCTCCATTCTGTTATCTTGTGTATCCACCTATTTCTGTCCGTTCTTATTACATGCCCATACCATACCAATCTCTTTTCTTCAATCAATGTTAAGGTCTCTTTTTTGACACCCATTCGCTGCCTGATCTCCTCGTTTCTTACTTTGTCTATTCTCGAAATTCTACAACTTCTCCTCCAGTATTCCATTTCAGTGGCCTGTATTTTACTTTTGTATTTTTTGTTGATCACCCAGTTTTCCGCGCCGTATGTCATTACGCTCTGTACTATGGTGTTAAATATATGTGATTTGGTGTGTCGAGTGATGTGTCTATCCCAGAGTATTGGATTTAGTTGTCTGATACAGTTTCGCGTCTGGCCTAGTCTACTGTTCATTTCTTCCTCTGTTGTCCCTTTTTGAGATATTATTAAACCTAATTATTTGAAATTTTTGGTTCTCTTTATTCGATGATTTTCATCGACTTGTAGGTAGTTGTCTCCATCTTCTGTTGTTGCCAGGTATTCCGTTTTCGAAAAATTTATTTACATTCCATTTTTTTCATATTCTTCCTTCAGTTTTCGTAACATGTAACTTAGGTCTTCTTCGTCTTGTGCGAGTACAACTTGGTCGTCCGCGAAATTTAACTTGTAAAGACAGTCGCCTCTGATTGGAATTCCCATTTGTTCACATTTTTTCTTCCATGGTTTTAAGATCTCCTCTAGAAATGTTTTAAACAATGTTGGTGATGTGGAGCATCCTTGTAGCAGCCCTTTTGTTGTTTTAAAGCCTTTTGAGAGTCTATCTTCGATTTTTATAGATATTTGGTTTCCTTCAAACATTTTTTTAACGGTCTCTATTAATTTTTGTGGCAATCCGATGGTCTTCATTGCCTTCCATAGTATCCCCCTGGGTATGGTGTCGTATGCTTTTTTTAGGTCTATAAAGGCTAAGTGAACCCCTCTCGGGAGAGCTTGCAACTCCTAGAGAGCGCGTCCCCAGGTGGCGGATAGGGGAAGGCCTCCCAGATATGGGTGGTTGGAGGGAAATCAAATACCTCCCGCGGACCAACAAGCACCACCGCAGCGTCGGACTCACAATGGGCGGCTGCAAATAGCGACAGTTCCCAAAATGGGCGGCTGAAGTAAAAGGCCCTCCAAATGGGGATTATGGCGTCAGGTCTAAGCTCCCTGGCACATGTACAAATATAAAGGGTCAAATAGACTAGAAGCAGGATGAAAAACCACGGAATTTTTCCCCGGGTGGTAATCCACACCTGGACTTTTAGACAGAAGAGGGAGCCCCAACGGTTACGGGGGGGGGGGGGGGCAAACCTGCTGATCGTGTACGAAACCCAGTCTTAAATCTCAACCAATTTATCTTAAGCAACTAAAGTCGTTTTCTTCACAGTTTAGAATAAAAAATTGGTAAGATGAAAATTATAGAAATTATTTCTTTTGTAATCTGAGTAGGCTACCGAGGTTCGAAGTATGCTGTTTCCAACTGATGTGGTATGAATAAATGCTATTTCGAAGGATAAGCATTGAAAATACTTGAAAACACTTGGGGGTTACCAACAATGTTATCCATCAAAATAAATTAGTCTGCAATTCAACGTCACACTTTATTTAATTATATATTATATATTGCTTTATTAGTGAACCGCATCTTAATGAAAATGGCAAGTGCTCAAAACTCCCAACAAAATCCTAGAATTGAGGTATCATAGGTATCACTAATTTGTCCCAGATTTCGCAGATAATACAAGGATTTCACAGTGATATTTTTTACAGTTAACAAGCCCTTAAGGAGATGACATCAACAACAAAAGCAGAAAGTTAGAAGTACACTATTTTTTTTGTTACATTGTATTTTTAATTTTCCTAAAATACCCCATAACACCAAAATCCCATCTGCTCAAAAAATTCTAATTCTAAGAATTCATCATATTCGAAAATAAATACACCAAATCATCTTGTACCCCATCCGAGTTCGATTCCCTTTCAAATATGATTCAAACTCTTCCCAACTACCAAATCATTTCAAATGTGGAGCCTATTGCAAACAAAGTGCCGTCTCAAACAGGAAATGAAATCCGATTTCAAACCGCAGAAATCTAATATTCCAAACACTGAACGCATAGCTCTTAAATTAATGAAATCTAATCACGACATGATAATTTTAAAAGCAGATAAGGGAAATGGATTCTATCGTCAACTTAAATCTGCTATTAAAACTTCTTCTCTATTGCAATGCGTGAAAATATCTGTCACCCCTCACGACTCTAAAATTCCTCGTTTTTACGGACTCGCTAAGATTCATAAACCAGTTTAAAACCGATTTATTATTGGCGCCATTGGTGCTCCAACATATCTGACTTCTATATTAAAACCTTTTAACGATTTTCTTGTTAGTCGCGACGTAGAGTCCGTCACTCTTTACTAATGTTCCCAGTCCATTGAAAAATGCTTGTCAAATTTATGAACAAATATCACATGGGTTCATTATCGTCACCAAACATCGCAAATATATTCACGAAAGCTTTCGAGAGGCCGTCGACACTTTTCATTTAAAACTAACAATAGAGACGCTAGCTATTCTATATTCTACATTTTTGTTATTTTTTCTCACGGTCAAGAATCCCTAAGAGATTTTCTTACACATTTAAACTCTATGCATTCAATTAGAAACTAATAAAAAACTTCCATTCCGATATTGGCCGTTCCATATCTGCATAATTAACAACTCACCAGTTAAAGTTTCTATTGCAATTATTATCCTAAATTTTACACACTACCCCGCATTTTGCCAAATCTTCTTTCTAAACAGCGATCACAACAAAACATTGTTTTTTAATTTAATGAGATCTGGGCATACCTTCTTCTTCTTGCTTTTATTGGGCACGTCTGCCATGGACACTCGCCCATCGCCGATACCTGGGCATATATAAAAAAGATATACTGCACAAAAACCGCCACATCTAAACGGAAACTGTCGAATTGAATTAAATTATCGTCAGCGGTCATGTTGCGAATTGAACGTCGTGTTGGTTAAAAATCTAGCTATTTTTTAACTCTCAAAAAAGTAAGGTAGAATCAAGTTTCAACGGTATTTTTGCGTCTACGTTCTATGCCGTTAAAATTCAGAAATAGTCATCATTCGCACCCCGTTCGAGGGGTCTAACAATAATTACAGTCTTAAGCCTCTAAGTAAATCCTCGTGAAGAAAGGAATCGACTCGTGTTTGCCAAGCAGAGCCGAGCCTCATCAATAATCGACAAAGCCATGGACGGAACTACCGTCAATTATCCTCAATTCCTCCTTTACGTGCGCACCTCATCGCGGCTCGCTTATTAGGATTCGGCCTAAATAATGTATCGGATGTTTACACGTTGAATAATTAAAGTTCCGATCAAAATTTACCCGCGACATGCGACGCCGCGCACTCAAACAGACTTAAAAATTGCCCTCTACCCACTTAAAAAGAAAAATTGCTGGTAAATAACCGACGCTGCGAGTCACCGAAAATTTCGACCGTGGCGTCAAGTGTTTAACAAACGCGTTTTAGGAAAGCTGCATTTAAACTCATCTTACGCATTCTTAACATACATATATAATGAAATACAATAACCTACAACCCCAAAAAATAATACGACGCAAGTAAATACCTCGACGAAAGCAAAATTAACCGTCATAAATGCAAGATTAATGTTCAAACGCCGGTCGCATCGTTATACGCAAGTGCGCACTGACATCAGACGTATGTAGAACCTTGCGCTTAAATGTAACCTACCTCGTTCTTATCAATTTGGTTCAAGTATTCGTCTTGACGTTGTCGGTCGTAGAGAATCCGTGCCAGCGAGCCTCTAGGTCGAAACCCGGCCCATTGTGACGCGAAATCGGGCCCGGCGACGCCACTGGCGCAGCCCGCGTCTCGTCCATTGATATTTTTCGAGGCGAACGCACCACAGCTGTTCGATTCCGACTCCATATCGGCCGCTCGCGAGCCGCAGTCTTGATTTTCAGGAGTCTCGGTGCCGAGTTGAGGTTAGGTCGGGCGGCGGAACACTTTCGACGCACTTTGCCGCTGTAAACGGACGAAACGGCTATGCTCACGCGTAATTTGGACACTCGGCTTGAGGTACAGGGACGAAGGTTCGGTTTGCCGGTGAAACGTAAACAAAAATTCGCCACGAAAACAACAATAAAGGGTTCGTTAACCGCGGTTTTACTTCGCGTCGTTACCGGCTGGCCGCCAGTCAGATGTTTTCCTGTAGCGGGAGGTTTGAAACCCGGGTCGATAGCGAAAGTCGACGTTGTCTGTGGTGGAGCCGCGCCGTTGCCAAACCGGGCGGCTTTTTCGAAGACGATACCGATATTTTTCTATTTTTTTAATTTTTTGTGTAAATTTGATTTTAAAAAATGAAGTTTACTAATTAGACAGTTTATTAACAGTATTTGCATGGGGACTACAGTTTTCCAATTTTGTCAAATATGGCGTTCAGATTTGATATTGCGTATTTTTCATTAATATGTCTAATTAGATTATGGACAATCGATTTCAATCGGAAGGCACAGGTCTTATGTTTAATATACACCAATAGGCCCCAAGTAGGTCTTTACATTTTAAAGAATAAGTGTGTGACCACCCTTTACACTCACTGAAGGTGGTCGCCAAGAATGGGGTACAACTCTACTATGCCAATTTCGCTAAGTTGAAGGAAATAAGTGCCAAGTATAGGGCCTAGACAAATTCAAAAAGAAAGGATCGAAAACTGACGGATCTATTCAAAATTCAATAGTTTACGTTGACAAGTCAATAATATATATACAGCTGTGGATCAACTCAACCGACGTCAAAAATTCATGTTACCAAAATAAGAAAATGGAAATCCCTAAATTTAAAACAGGTTGCTCATTTAACTTCACAAAAACAACTGGGATGACAAACAGTAAACAATGAAAAAATATCCCAGTGGAATGCCAAACGAAATCCACAGAACAAGGCGATATAATAGCGATCGCGAATGCTCGCACAACCAGATAAAATGAGGAACTTACTTCTGTTGATTGTGGGTGGCGGCGATCCAGCACAATCTGTTAAGTTGCAGACGTGGCGCTCTACAGTTGGGCAAGGTCACAATGATCATTCGCTCATTACCGACGTTGGTGCTACGATTTTATAATAAGCTGGGTTTAATATTGCTAATACTACTAGGCCAATTAATATCAGGGGCAGAAATACTATAACTTCTTACTACAATGTGACCAAATCAAAATATCATAAAAATAATCTCTTGACTGTGGGCGAGAGGTTTAGTACCATACAGGTTGATTCCCCGACTGTACTAAGGGCCTACTCGCTTTTAACCAATTGTCCACCAGTCTTAAAATGAAGTAATCTCTCGAAGATTTCGACGGGTGAATCTATTATCATGGTTAAATAATTTTTAAACAGAGGAAACTTTTAAATATAATGCTTCTGTTTGCTTGCATTTATTATTAGGTAAAAAACAATCCAATGGAACATTAATTCAGCGATACTAGTGATCTTTAAAAAATCAACAACAAGTAAAACATTCGATACTGTGCTGTCTTAATCTCATAATGCTAATTGTTTGGAGAAATGGCCATTTGCAATTCGAGGTGGTATTTATTATCTTTTTTTTTTTTCATTGCGAAAAGTTGCGGTACACAGTATATACTGTGTAGCCGAAAGTAGTTGAAAACAAAATATTAACTGACAATCAGAGCGTGTCTAAACAATAACGCTAAGTTATTAACAGTTTAAGTACTCATTGAGCAGTTTTAAAAAGTCGGATTGTGTTACACTTTGTTTGTGATATATTGCAAAATTTACAAAAGTTGAACTTTTTGAGCAGTGTTTAGTTCCGGAACAACACAAAAGTGATGAGCGAGGGATACACTTATTCCAACTATTTATCTTATCAAAAGAATCAACAGGCAAAACAAAAGTTTCGTGACGAATTCTTCCAGTTATTGAAAGAACCGAATACTGATTTTTTGGTGAGAGTGAATTTGAGAAAAACCAAAATGATTCAATTTAATTTTTTTAACTTAGGGTTTCTTTTTCTCTTTCTTAATTAGTAATGATAATAATAATAATAATAATTTATTGACGTTAACAGGTTTTACCCAAGTCAGCAAAAACATTGAGAAAAATCTACATATATGTATAATTACAAAGGCGCCGCGACATAACACAGAAAACGCCAAACATTAGTAAAATTGGTAAGAAAGCCCCATCCAGCAGAAGTGATTTGACCTTAATAGAAAACTGTCTCTCCGGCAGCTCTCTGACGCTCAGAGACAATAGATTGAAGAATTTAGGTTCATAATAGTTCTTATAATTTGTAGTCTTTGCAATTCTTGAGTTGAGTTAATCGACATATCACTTCTGTTTCTGGTGAGATGGTGACAAACATTAATATGAAGGGGATATTGATCCTGGTTGCTTTTAGTATACTTTAATGCCGAATAGATATAATAACATGGAACAGTTAATATTTGGAGATCTTTAAACTTTGCTCTTATGTCATCCCTAAGATTCAACTGCGTCATCGCCCTGTTGGCTCGCCTCAGTATCGAAAAAACTCTCTCGGTATGTGAGGAGTGACCCCAAACCAAAATTGCTTAGCTAAATTGTCCCTGAAAGAGTGAAAAATGTACTATTCTGACTATACTTTGAGAGACCTCGCCGACCAAACCACGCAACAAGTACACCACCCTGGAGAGATTCTCACAAAGACCAATAAGATGCTGCCGGAACGTCAATTTTGGATCAAGCAGAACTCCAAGACAGTTCACATGTAATTTATTGTTGAATGTTGACTCTCGTAAAGAAAATATAATTTATTGTGTTTTTGATTCATTGAGGTTAAATTTGACAAGAAAAGGTAGTATCATCAGCTAACAATGTAGAAACTATGCAACATGCTCAAGGAGATCGTTTATGTAGAACAAGAATAGAAGAGGGTCCATAATTGACCCTTGGGGTACTCCATGTTCAGCAACTCTAATTTGCGATGACAGTCCATTCAGGACCACGATCTGCCTCCTGTTTAAAAGATAACTTTAAAGGAATCCAACCGATGATGGATCCACGCCATACATCTGCAACTTACTCAGGAGAACAGGATGCCGGACATAGTCAAACACTTTCGAAAGATCGCATAGGACTGTGCCGGAGTACTCTCTGCTTTTAAAAGCTGCGTAAACCTGATCAAGAACTCTACTAATCGCTCCACAAGTCGATTTATCACGTCTAAACCCAAACTGGGCCGGAGACAGCAAACGGTTGTCCTCGAAGTAAGCTGCTAATTGAGAATATAGAATCTTTTCATTAATTTTACCGATTGTGGGGATAATAGATATTGGACGATAATCATTTATATCATTTTCTTGAAAACCGGATTCACTATGGACAACTTCAAGGAGTTGTGAAAAATACCCTCGGATATACACCTGTTCGTCGGTTTGTTAGGGTAAGAGTAAATATAATTAAAATTTGAACGAAACCCCTGCAACCAACACGGATTTTTAGTTTAAATTAGTTACTTATAGCCACCTTTAGGCTCCTCTGATACCAATGTCCGCTGGTCGGCCGGAACGAGTCGAATTAGAACCCGAACGGAGTGTAATTAACGTTCGAAAACCTCTCCCGCTTCAAGAACCGCCGACTTCCTGAATACCCGGCGAATTATATTTATAAGGATCGTTAATAATTTCAGAAAAACATAAATAATTGCCCGAGACTGCGCGGGGACCGTTAAGTTTATTGTCTCAGCGGCCACGACGACGGCACCGGGTTAATGAACCGAAGAAGAACGGACAAAAAACTAATCAAAACTAATAACCCCCCTCCGTCCTTGGGCCTTTAATTTCTTATAATATAAAATTATTCCTACACACGCGTAATCGACGGGCGAGTTCGTTTTGTTAAAGATGGCCGTAATTGCCGCAAAATTAGCCGGGTATAATTGCCTCCGACACAATGTCCGTGATAGTTTTAATGGTCGTTTTCGTTCGGGTTACCTTTCGTGGTCGCGGATACCAAATTATAGGTCTCTCTCGGAATTATAAACCAATTAAAATGGGAAAAACGATCAGCGACCAAAGGTTGCCTCTTCTGGTTTAATTCTTGGATTTAATGACGAAACGTCTGCGGCCGATGGCTGTTTGCCAAACCGCCACACATTGGAAACTGGTCGAGCTCTGTTGATTGAACCTGTCTTGCCTTGGTCACCATCTAATAGGGTTTCGTATCAAAGGAATGGGTCAACTTTTCAGAAAAATATAAGAGTCAATTGAGCCGATTCTGTTAACAAGCGTCCATCCAAGTTTATTTCAAAGTCAACGGATCCGTCAGCATCTCAGGAAAATGAGAGAGCCAAATGGGTTGCATCTCTCTTCACTTGGTTACCATCTAAAGTCATTTTGAAGACAATGAATTTGTGTTACTACAACAAAACCAGCTTGAACCGTTTACTGAGCAGGTAAACATTGGTTTTATTTGGTCCACATACAAAGAATGTTAAAGATGGATTAAGCAAAGCTTATAACACTTAACATTATGCCTAAGCAGTTTTTTAACATCTTCTGTTGTAGTTTTGTTTTTGTCCATTGTTTGTTGTGTATATATTAATTCTTTGTGATCACTATCTAATTTAATATAAGTCTTTTGTAGTTTTTCAAATATGTTTTGCTGGGTTTTGTGTTTAAAATGATTTTAGTAAGGAACAGTAGAGCAATAGACACACATTTTTTATGGGTTTACGTCGTAAATCTCATATCAAATTAAAGGTTGCACAAACATATGCCATAAGTAGAATTTTTAGATACATATGTACCATTTTATCCCATTTCTCACAACTGTCATAGCGGACGAAAATAGAAAAATGTAAAAATTAAATTAATAATTACAAAATGTCGCGACTATGATATATTAGGAAAATAATAAATAAGAATTAAAAGTTCCGAATTTCACGAAATTATACACATTTCGTTTTCGTCACAGGATCCCACATAAAAAACCCAATCTAGAGTTAACATAGAAAATTCCAAAATCGCCCTGTATATAAAAATCCAACATCAAAAATGGGACACACTGTACATACACATCTGGCAGCGTTAGGGTCAAAGGATCGGATTGGCTGCTCCCGCAACGCCTCGATTGTTACGACGCGATCGGGATCCTATATACGGAAACCCGCGGGGCTGCATTCGCGGGC